CACACACACACACAGGCATACAGTGAGATATGGAGAGGCTGCGAGTGCCCTTCCCCCCACCCACTTCATCCATCCATCCATCCGTCCATCCAGCCGCGCACACACGCACACATCCAGCCATCCCGCCATCCCGCCAGGAAGCTCACACACACACAGGCACGCACACGCACGCAGAGAGATAAAGAGAGGCAGCGATTCAGTCCATTCACCCTCCCACCCACCCACCCACCCACTTCATCCATCCCACCACCCGAAAGCGTCGAGTGGTTTGAGAGTGAGCGCATCTTCCTCATCTTCCTCCTCGTCCGTCCAGCTGATGTCATACCGCCCCTCAAGCCCATCGATGGTGTCGCCATCAGTCCGCTTCTCCACCAGCCGCTTGAAGGCATCGTTGGGCCGCGGCTGGAACTTGAGCTCCTTGATGCCACGGAGCTTGAGCAGCGACTTGACGCAGGCAATGCCGAACTCGCCAGCGGCATTTCATCGTGCTGTACAGGCATACCGAGGGTGCGCGCGCGAGCGAGATTCAGTTCGTCGGTCACGATGTCGTCAAGGACCGGACTATCCCGACGAGCCAGTTCTTTGGTGAAAAGGAAGGCACGGACTGGAAGAAGAGCATCTTCTTCCGCCGTGTGACAAACTCTCGATGACGAAAGGAGAGATCGTGCGATTCTACAACATGACTGATGGTCGTTCAGGGGTATCCGCATACGACCCAGACTCAGACACCACAGCAGCCTAGTGTGTCCCAGACCCCCCGACAATCGGCGACGTGCAGGAGCATCTCTTCGAGCTGTACGGGAATGTCCAGAATGCGCGGGCGAGCGAGATTCAGGCAAGGGGAGGGAGGGAGGGGTGGATGGCAATGACCTCCAGTGGGTCACCTCTGTCTGTCTGTCTCTCTGTCAGTTCATCGGTCACGACCTCGTCAAGGACCGGACTGTCCCGACGAGCCAGTTCTTCGCTGAAGGGGAAGGCACGGAGTGGACGGAACAAGGGGGGAACTTCATCTCATTCCGCCGTGTGCCCAACTCAGGTAAGTACGTACGTCGATGATGCATCCAACGGCCAGACTGACAGGCGGGGACCAGCTTTTCATTTGTGACCTGCCCTCCCTTCTGCATGTGTTCCCTTCTGTCTGTGCATTCGTTCAATCAAGATTTACACGCCAGCAGCACAATCGTCTCGACACCGGCAGGGCAGCAAGCAGGTCAGTGAGCACACAGGTGGACGAGGGGCGTGGCGTGCAGTCCACCGTGGATGTGCTGTATGCTGTGTCTGTGTTGGTCTTCTGCCTGTCAAGGGAGGAGACGACGGGAAGACCCTCGAGTTGATGCTGTTCGGGCTGAGAGGCAGGGGGGCGAGGGGGAGGCAGAGAAGAAGCAAGACAGTTTTCAGTGTGTTTGCATGTGAGTGGTGGTAGAGAGAGAGCACACCTGGATACACTCGGCTCAGTACGTGAGCATACTGTTGTTTGTTGTCATTTGGAGTCGGGTGATTGATGTTTGGTCTTCCTCCTCCTCGACCACTGCGCTCACTTTTTAGATACACACATAGTAGGTCGATCGGCACAGTGACTGACTGGTTTCTTTCTTGTTATCCTCCAAGTGATCTGTACGTGTGCCTGCATCTCGTATACAGACAGATAGATGTGGACAACAGCTGACTGACAGCGTCTCACGACCTGTCTGCATGCGTGTAGTGCATGTCAATGGCTTCTGTCACTCATGAAGGATACGCCTTCAGCACGGTTTCGTCCAGTAATTGCAGCATTCATTCATCAGGGACACCCATAATAAAGACATCTCCGTCCGGCACGGAAGCACGCGCAAAAGAGCGGCTCACTGCTCTCCGTCTGCGCGCATCTGGATGCAATGTCAACCACTTCTGTGATGGCCAGTCGGCCGTCGTGGCGATCAGTGGGTGACCTACAACAACAAGAACACATCGACGATGGCCTGCTCGGACCACCGGACGCGTCCCTGTCGCTGCATGAGTCCATCTGGTACATCACGACGGCAACAGAAAGGACTCCCCATGATCTCGTTCGCCAAGCAACCGCAACGCTATTCACCCTATCCACAGCTCAGCCACGACCCACCCACCCACCACACAGTCTCTTGTCTGTCTGTCTGTCTCTTCATTGGTAGACCAATGTCTCCCTGCCCTCCTCTCCCCGCCGTCTCCTCTCCTCTCCAGCAGCAGCAGCAGCACCATAGAATGCGTCAACCCACCCCTGCATGATGCCCAGCTCCCTCTCACGCACACGCCGCACAGACAAAGGGTCCTCGTCCGACGGCGCACGCAGGTCGAGGTGATGGGCTCCCTCAGTGACGTTGAGCACCACACACGACGGCGAAGGCGAGTGGTGGAAGGAGCCGGTCCACCATGGATCGAGCAGCCCGTTGCTGAAGATGATGTTGCTGCAGCCCTCGAAGTAGTTAGAATACCTGACACGACCAACATAGACATAGACACACACACACACTTGTGGGTGGGTCGGTCGGTGTGTCGTGTCGGAGGTCCTCTCATATCTCACCTTCTGGGCCATGTGAAGTCTGGCGTGACACCGTATTTCTTGCGGCATCCGTCGACGACAGCGGTGAGGTTGTATGGCGACGGAGGGAACATGTCGGTGTCACCGTTGCTGCCGATGGGCATGCTCTGCGTCGTGCACGTCAGATAGTCCCACCCATCCAAAGCGCCTAAATGAACACCGTCACACATACAGCAATGAACCATGTGGTTGCCCCTTTCTGTTCATCTGCTCACCGAGTGAGTCGTCTTCGCCCGTGGTCTGTATGTTGAGGCACTTGCCCTTCTCCGCCAGCCCCGCTGCGTCCAGCCCCCTCCTCATGGCCATCCACACACCACGCCGATCGGACACACTAGCAGCAGCAGCAGCAGTGCTGCCGTACCCCTCACAGAACTTGGTGACGGGCCAGGCAGGCAGTGAGCCGAGAAACGAGGCCGGGTAGGGATAGTCGACCATCGCCAGCTCGCCGAACGCGTCCATCATCCACGCGATGAGCGACTCGACCTGGGTGCCGTTCTCGATGGGTGTGCAGGTGGAGAAGGTGCCGGCGAGATCATCCACTGTCTGCTGCCGCTCGTCCGTCTGCCTGTGTGAGTGCCGCAGAGCCGCCGTGGCCTTGTCCTTTTTGTTGTGTTTGAGAGTCTTGGTGGCTTGTTCCAGAAACGTGAATGCCGTCTTGATGCCGTCGGCACAGCCGGCTGATCGAAAGTCCTCAGTAACCTTGGCGAACCACATGTATTGGTCGGTCATGTTGACGTATTGCAGCACCGGTGCCGAGGCGGCCAGGGAGCCCGTCACCAGAGAGGGGTACTTCAACCTGCACACGGAGGACAGTGAGAGCAGTGTGTGTGGCTGGCTGACGTGGCGGTTTCCACAAACCTGAACCATGCTGCCAGCATGCCGCCGTATGACCCTCCACCTGCCAGTATCGGCCCCCTACCGTACTTGGTCGACTGGAGGCGCATCAGCAGCACCGCATAGTCCTCCAGCACCTGACAAGAGAAAGACACACACAAATGGTCGGATGGATAGATGGATGGATGGATGGATGGCACCCCAACGTGTCCTGTCCACCTGTTCGATGGTGCAGTATCCGATATTCTGTCGCTCGAATGACTTGTTGCCGAAGGGCATGGTCTCTCCGAAGTAGCGGTGCTCGGCGAACACCACAACGCCGCCAAAGTGGTCGCGGACGGTCTCCGTCCAGAAGCGGCTGTTGTTCCAGAACAAGTCAATGGGACCCTCATTGCCTGCACACCACACCGAGAGTCATGAATGAATGACCATCCAACAGCCAGTCACCCCCACCGACGCACCTGTGTAGAAGATAATTGGCCGCCCCTTCTGTCCATCCCACCGCTCCTCGTTGACCAACACGCGCATAGCGAACGTCCTGTTGTCTTTGCACACACCGCAACGGCAGAGCAGACAGATTCTGAACTGACCGTCTCCGAGTCAGTGATCCGCTGATCCTACCCTCATAGTTAAAGTGATCAACGTCGCTGGAGAAGTACTTGGTGACGTATGCCGGCCCTCCGCTCTCCCCTGCTGCCGCATGGGCATGGTGCTGAGCCGCTTTGCGGTATATGTTGGGCGGACTCCGCCGTGAGTCGCCATGAGAAGCAACAGAGGATCCAGGCCACACGAGGGCCACCAGGGAGACCACCACGGTCACAGATACGCAGGAGAAAGCCATCGAGAGAAACTCTGCGGCTAAGCTCGCAGATGCGAGCTGAAGGGAGAAGGATCTCTCGCTGGCTTTGTCTGACTGTCACTCTCCTTGTCGTACTCTCCCTGACCCCAACCATGAGAAGGTTTTGTCAGAATCTGCTCCTTCTGGCCGCCGCCATCCTTATCGCATCAGGTGGGCATGGGGCCTCCCACACGCACCCATGCACACAGATATACCCGTCAGAACACAGATCTGACCAATCACTGATTTTGTGACGTTCTCAGATGCGCAGCGAGGTCGAGGTGGCGGCCGGGGAGGCTTTAGAGGCGGCGGAGGAGGCCGTTCCTTCGGCGGAGGAGGCTACAGCGGGGTAGGCACACACAGACATCACCTCACATCACAGGCAGGACGCACCTCACGGCAGAAGGGACGGCTGAACTGGCTCTTCCGTGTGTGTGTGTGGTGCTGTCTGCTCACACAGGGAGGTGGTGCTCGTGTTCCTGTCCAGAGTCGGCCCACTGCTCCCTCTCGGCCCGTCCAGAGACCACAGCCACGGCCATCGCAGCCAAGGCCTCAGCCACAGCCACGGCCATCCCCGTCCAGGTCGCAGCCCAGTCGCCCGTCGGGTCAGATCAGCCCCGATCTCGCCAACAGAGCCAACCAAGTCGCACGGTGAGCGAACGAGGGCGGGGAGAGGACAGGGACACGTACCTACCATTGCCTCATGTGATGTGCGTGTCACCCGATCAGGCAATGGGACCGCGGTGCTCGTCCCGGTCAGCCAGTCGCTCCTCGGCCGGGTACCCGCCCCGCGCCGCGCCCTCAACCGCCAAGGCCCCCTGCGACTCGTCCGGGCGGGCCGGGCCCACGGCCAGGTGCACCAGGTCCGCGGCCTCGCCCACCAGCTGTGAGGCCTCCTGTTGGCCGTCCAGGTGCAGGCCCTCGGCCGAGGCCACCTGCGGCCAGGCCACCCGCTTTCAGACCCAGGCCACCGGTGAGTCAGCTGAGGTGGCACGGAGGGCGTTTGCCTACCTCCCCATCTCACCTGGTCTGTGCTCTATGTGATGTGCTCAGTCGTTCCGTCCTGGTGCGCGTCGTCCGTATGTGCCGCCGAGACCCCGGCTGCCGGTGGCTCGCAGACCCCTCCCCCCACCCAGGGTGGGCGTCCCAATCCCTCGACGCGTGCCAGTGAGGCCGCCCGTGAGGAGAAGATACCCCGTTCCGCCAGGCCTCTACAGGCCGCCATTCTCCTACCGCCCGAGGTTCTGGCGCTTCCCACGGTGGCGCTATCCGATCCCTGTGGTGCTGCCCGTCCGAGGCGGAGGGTGGTGGTATCCGTTTGTCGGTTATGGGGGGTACGCTGACTATGGCGACGACCGGTACGACACCACCGTCTACTACTCGACGGCTTGTGCCGAGGGAGGGTTTGAGTGCGCCGACTCGGTGCAGTGCTGCTCGGCCAGTTGCTATGAGGGCGTGTGTGAGGAAGTGACGACCGGCGAGGAGGCGCCACCAACCACCTCGACAGAAGACCAGTACTACGATCCCAACTCCTATCTGCCCCCTGCTGATCTGCCGTACTCTCCCGAGCTGTTTGAAGGGGAGCAGGGCGTGGAGTCGCCACCTGCGGGGTGAGTCAGCGAGTGGAGTGAGTGGAGGGATACGACTCACAAGCATGCCGCCACTTGTGCCATGTGTGTGTGTGTGTGTGTGTAGGTTCATCCCTGACGAGGGCGAGGCTGTGGATGTGCCGGGTCTGGAGGACGTTGAGGGCGAGCTGCAGTACTACAACGGCACATACTTCTACACCGTTGGTACGCCGATGCCGATGCCGAGAGAGACCGCGAGAGAAGTGTACTCTCACACTCTCTGGTCGTGTGTGTGTGTGTGTGTGTGAAGGCAATCAGACGTACTTCTTCGCCCCGGGCAATGCCACAACAGGCGGCCAAGACCCACAGCCACCACCCGCAGAGTGAGCAGACCAGCCATGCATCCCTACACACCACC